GGGACGGGGGCGCTGAGCGCCCGGTTGCTCGGAGGGGTTAACGGCGGCCGCAGTGGGTGACATGAGTTTTCGCGGAAGAACCTGATTCTTGAGCAAGAACCATATTCTTGAGCAAAATGTTTTTCAAATGAAGAACCTGATTCTTGAGCAAGAACCTGATTCTTGAGCAAGAACCTGATTCTTGACCTAAATGTTAATGTTTACCAATGATTTGCACGCATTAGAATTGCTGTTCTGAGCGATGAGAATTGGGTGTTTGGCAACGCCAGACGTGGGCCTCGTGCGAGCGGGGTGGGTGGGGGGTTATTCCCCATACACACACCTAAAACCCCTCTCGTGCTGAGCGAAATCGCTCTGCTATTCGCGGTGTATGCCAAGTAACTTATACGTCAGCATGCCGCCCTAGGGAAAGGACATGTGTGCAGCGATGCCTTACGTTGCCCCAGGCAGGCGATGGTGCCGCCGTTTGTAGAGTTGAACCATCTCTCTAGATTACTAATAGCCAAAGCCTTTGCCCATGGTGGAGCGGGTAAGCACAGAACGAGATGACGGCGAAGGGCACAACAGGCGAGAGCATAGACAGACCCATCTCCCCCATCTCTGCATAATAATAGCCACGGAAGAACGCTTCTGGGTGATTAGTCTGATGGCAAAGTAGCTTAGCACAATTTCTCGTGTAACGCACCCTACATCGTACCGACTCTGGGCGCGGTACAACGACCCGTTGCGGTACCGGTCGCCCCGGTGGTCTAGTGGTGTCCTCGTAAACCGCTAGTCGCAGAGGTCGTGAGTTCGAATCCCCATGGGCTGAAAAATTTGCAAAACGTTGCGGGTGAAAGCGAAATATAGCTGAAAAAAGCTCTCGTGAGTACCAAACGTCGACGTTAGCACCGTTGACGAGGGAAAGGGACGGCTGGACCCTTCTCGCGATAAAAATAAAAGTTCAGCACGCACCGCAGGAGGAGGAAGGTGGGGCATGAAGATATATATAGAAAAGAAGAAAAAAGCCCTGGTGTTTACCCCCGTCTGTGTGACCCTGGATGGTTGTAGTTGTACGAAAAAATATACTGAAAAGTGTAGTACTCTACATGCGCTGGAAAATTGTAGTACACGTCTCACCACGAAAAATAGGGTGACTGTCGCCATAATAACTAGGACGAAAACACAACACAAACAAAATAAACTGGAAAAGACTCTTGACGCTGCTCCAGAAAGGGAATAAACAAGAGATATCCGGCATCACAGATAGGCCCCTCGCCTAAGACTACCCTCCTACATACGACGTTTTAATGGAGGCGCTAACACAAGTCCCTCATGGGTTGAAGATGTGCAGTACTTCGCACGGACGGAACTCGTGTTCACGCCTGCCTCTCTCTTATTGCCTTGTTCTCTCCCCTGCCTTCTGCTTTTCTTCTCCATGCGCATTGGTCAAATCAACACATCTGTCGCATTTTTCGGCTCGTTCATGAGAATGGCACGTGCGGCTGCAGCTGGTAGAACATTCTTCGGACGTGTGGGTGCTTTCACTTGTATCAACACATCTCCTCGAAACTGGCTTTTTTGCTTCGAGATTTCCCAAAGGAGCATCTTGCTGGTAGGGCGATTTTTTTGTAGCATGCCCGGCGGGTTGTTGCTCAATACGGCTGCCATCAGGCAAAAACAGCGAGCGGTGATTGTCCGTCTTTGCTGGCCGATTTCTTCACGACGAAACGGTCGCAAGGCAACATCCCGCATCACGACAAGAACAACACCTCAACAGGAGTAACAGAGAAAACGACAATCAATGAGAGGATTAGCACGGTTGCCTGAGGCAAGCTGCGTTGCCAATTGTTCAACACGTTCTTGCCATCAGGCCAAAAGGCTTAAAAAGGTTCCCGTTCACAATTTACGCGGCGATAACAGCGTCGTTTTTTTCCTAAGTTCGTGGCTGGAATGTTTTGTTACCTCTCCAAGTCAATGCCGTTCATGATTTTTTTTATACATGTAACTACAAAGACGCGCGTGCAGCACCACATTACTTGTGGTCACACAATGCCTTCGTTCATCGTGATAAACTCTAAACCCCACTCGGAAAGAGCAAAACTCCGTACGGCAGTCAGTCTCTACAAATCCTTCTCATGACTACTACTACAAATACTTGCACTACTCGTACTTCTACTGCTGCCGCTCCCATTGGCACGAACGACGCCGTCTTCCTTGCGAGCAGCTGCACTAGTAGCACTGCCGCTGCTATCTATCTCGACTCCCCCAACTGCCCTCCTTCTGACTCCCTCCGTCCCATCTACACAACCAACACCACCAACACGACCACCGTTACGGCTTGCTTGGGGCGTAAATAGCTTCACGGGCGGTAGCCCCAGCTGCTTCGTCGGCGATGGAGGCGGTGACGGCAGGGGACCGCCCCCTCTCCTCGCTAACGCCTCCACCTTGCGGATCGTTGCCCCCCAGGCGATCGACAGCACGAAGGCGACTCCCATGAGGGCCCTCTGGGGAGGGGTGCCGCCAAGGACGGCCGAACACAGGTACAGCAACACCTGCGCCGTCGTGCGGCCGATTCTGACGCCAACGGTTGCGATGGCTTCTTTGCCTGAAAGAAAAAACACACACGCGCAAACACACACACGATTTCATCGGTAAGTCGGTTGGCGCGGTCGAAACTAAAAACATGACGTACACACACGGTCATGGCCTGCAGAAGCATTTTCCGTTTTCAGTCGCACTGAGACTGGCGTATTTTCATTGGTCCGTTGGCTAGCGCGGTCGATGTGAATACCAAAGACACAAGCACACGACGATAGAGCGTGCTCTAGAGAGTACACACCTCGAGGTAAATATTGAAAGGACGGCATGATGTACGTCGAAATGGCGACGTTACTTAAAAACGCGGTGTTCTACAGCAGATGACACGTGGAGGTTACAACTGTCCTGTAACAACTCGCACTGGATAATCTGACGACCTTTCGGAGTGTGGCTCACGTGTATTACGATTCGCTGCTACGGTTTCGTGTCACGACTGATGACCGACAGGGATAAACGACTCGTGCCCGCCATTGGCAAGCCCCCTCTCCCTCCCTCTCTCTCTCTCTCTCTCTCTCTCTCTCTCTCTCTCTCTCTCTCTCTCTC